GGGGGGGGGGGGGGGGGGCAGGAAATTTCATGCTTTTGTAGAACATAATTGGAAGTGAATGACAGTTGAAAACAAAAGTGAAAAACGTGCAAAGTGTCCAAGAAGAGAGAGGGGCACAATCTTTCAGACAGGATGCTCTGTCAGGAATTTGTCAGGAATTTCTTCCTCTAGCTAAATCCCTGGCTTGGCAAGTCAAAATAAGGGTGGCATCGTAGACAGGGACAATGCAGGCGATAGGCATCTATGACTCTTCAGCAATCTGAAGCAAAGAGTTGATAGCTGCATCCTTGTTCCCTCCCTGGGCTTCTAGCACTGAACGGATTACTTCCCTGTCCATGTTGGGAAACATGTCCTGGATATATTTCAGATCTTCTTCATTACACAGGTGCTGAGGGTTAACTGCAGGAGATGGTACTGGCACTGGTACCATGCCTGGGTTACAGACTGCAGGCATTCCTGGAGACAAAAACATACATAAAAGGAAATTAAGGACTCCTATTACATGAAAAACAAAATGTTTGTTTTTGCGCAAATGAAAAACTCCTTTCAGAAGCAAACAAAACAATGTATAGGTGCCAAATTTGACCAGGCACAGAATTTACCTTAACTGTTCTAAACAAAAGACATACTATTCCAATCTAGACAAGTGGCAGTGTTCCAGAAATGCTGTTAATATAGTCATGAATATGCTATGGAGACCTAAACAGAGATAAACACGTCCCAATAGGATTTAGTCTTATTAGAGGTAGCCAGAAACCTTTCTTTTTGAGCTCATAACAAAATCATAATTGATATAAAAAAGATAGTGCCATTAACTGTAACGTCCTTATGCAGGTGTCAGCATCCTACAGCTCTCAGCTCAGATCTGGCCTACCAAGCACGGGCATTTATGCCATTAGATGAACAGTAAGCATGCATCATTTATTGGCAAAATATATATAACAGTGGTCTCTGCTCCCTTAAAGCCAAGGTATTAATTCAGGTAGCTCTTACTGAAAGTTTGCTGACTCTCGTCCATGAGTTTATGACCCTGTAGTATACAAATCTTCTTTGTTGCCATGTAAAGTCCAACTGAATACACAGTGCAATCCAGCCATTGAAGCTTTATAGAAAAGCTCAGGGTATAATCTTAACCTTATGCTATGGAAGTATATGGAAAAAAAACTCTGATAAAAGGGTATTTCTATACAAGAATGTAGTCTCCATTATTTCAATAAGAAAAATGTTTTTCTTAAAAAAAAAAACTCATTATTTCCAAATAGATTGAGCAGATATTGGCAAACCCAAATAAATAGTGTCTAGTTATTCTGTGTGTAGTATTAGGCCTCTGGAAGATGTTATGTTTTCCCCTGATATGACATTCACAGTGAATTGTAACATGCCACATGTTCAGGGAATTTATGCCAGGATAAAAACAGGAAAACAACCACAAAGATGTTCCATATTAGATTCAGGACATCTTTGAGGCAGGTTTGTAGCAAGCTTTAAACCGAACATGTGACGTGTCCTGGACCCAGGGCTGCTGCTGCTGATGATGATCAGCTGACTGGAGGTAGTTAGCCATGTTAGCCTGTAGTCAGGCAGATGACAGGGCAGATATGCAAGTTATAGACTAACTAAAAGCATAAACTTCTCTGAACTCAAGCTCAATTTATCAGATACTGTGAAAGGACAAGTGTACAGCAGTATATGAAATGAAGTGAGTGATCTGAATACAAAAGCTATAGAGGGAGGGGGAAGGAGGACATTGCTGGGAGAAGCAAACAGGAAAAGACCCCACAGAGACGAGAGGGTCAGAAAAGCTAACTCAGGTAATGGGATAAAAATCCATAGTCCCCATTTAAATCATGCTACACACAATCCAGTCTGTGGGCAACTTCACATTCCAGAATTTCCTGTTCAAATTGTTTTTTAAAAATTTACTGCCTGAGAACAGCAATCCTGAGTGGATTGTAAGAATCAGGAAAGGGGCAGCCTCCAGGTCTGGGATACCACTGCCCAATCCTGGGAAAATCTAGCAGCCACAGGTCCCAAACCAGGACTTGGGGCTTTTCCCCCCTTGCCAAATCCCTGCAGCATGGGGCTGTCATTGCCCCCATGTACAGTGAATCCACTGGCTCTCCATGTTCAGGGACATTCAAAGCCCTGAGCTACAGGCAATGCCACATCGCAGATTCCTCGGGGTTAGGGAGCTCCTAATCCCCAGCAGTCATGTAGGTGGATGGGTGAAGGTTAGTATGAAGATGGGGTGAAGGGGAGGGGAAGAATAGGAGAGGGACTGGGTTGGGAGCAAGGATGATGCCCTGACAAGCAGCACCGTATTTGGGATTAAGCATACAAAAACCTCAGATCCTAACTGCATGATCATATTAAATGTCTGCCAGCAGCCTTAAGGAGTATGGAGAGATAGAGGAATTGTTTTATTTTTTACAGACTGACACACAATATTTCTCAGAGAAGCAACAAAATCAGTTTGGAATCTGCATTATGCAAAAAAAGACAAGCAAAGCAACTGCAGTTTGAAGTTGGAGAGTTTCTTTTTCTTTTTTAAATGGTGTTTTCCAAAATTTATTCCTAAAAACACTAAGTGCATTCCACATTTTCTTCATCTGCTGAAACAATAATTGAGAACCACCCCGGAGCTGAAAAGGTTAAAGAATTACAGTTCATTTTAAAGGCACTCCTGGAGTAGACACGTGACAATTTTATTGATAATCAAAAAGATATTGATGCAAGTAGTTACAACGCAACTGTTTGGTTTGCATGGATTCTGCAGCAATACAAGTGTAGCTAGACTGCTCCAACTTTAACCCTGCATCATTTAAGGCCAAAGCCAGGGCAATTTAGCTATCTTTTATTGCTACAGTTTTATGAAAATAACAAACTGCAATGCTCCAGAGCACTCGAGTTCTAGACTATAATACTGTAGTAGAAATATGATCTGATTAGACAACTTTGAGCAGGAAGCAATAAAAACTATACTTACTTTCCAATTATGTAGGGTACACAACCTGCCTCTCAGCACCTACTTACTAGTTCAGAATAAGACATTAATTTGCCATTCTGCAAACATTTGCTGATCTTATTTCTAAAGAGACCTCCCATGATCAAAGTGCTATACATCAGCTGTACCAGAAAGTCTGAGTAGTTGAATAGACATGATCAACAAAAGCTAACATACGGAAAGTTAATCGTGATTATTTGTACTACAAAACAATTAGTGAGAGCTTTACACTAGGGCATACAAACCACTGGGACTGCTACCAGATGCAAATGAATGTTCTTTGTTTACAATTCTTCCTAGATGCTAGTGAAGACTGACATTTTACTTTTAAGGTCTAGGTTTTGAATCTTCAAAATTTAGTTAAAGCAAATTGATGGGGCTTTCTTCAACTGAATATGGCAAAAAAAAAATACCACCCCCCCCACCAATATCAGAGTCCTGATGAAAGCAGGACACCGTGAATAGTTTTTTAGTACCTACATCATATCTTTGTTTCTACTGTTTCTCTCCTCCCACTAATACACTGTTTCGAATAAAACTAAGAAGGATTGACAGATGTGGCCATTTCTTAATAAAAATTTAACTCCTGCTTTCCACAAATAAGTCAAATATGTCAAACAAAGAACACTTTCTCATGCTCCACAAGGATCGCCAATTCTAACCTTTATCAACTATATAAAGATATTTTCCTCCATTGTCCTTTCCCACAGGTATAATTTAAAAAGTAATTGATCTTGGGTAATTCACTGGGCACTCCTGCCCACCTTAGATGACTCTGGCTTGGAACTGACTGCCACTAAGTATGTTGCTCAAAAGCCTTATTCAGTAAAAATTATGTTTGCAAGTAGGCTAAGGAACACTATGGGCAAAACAATCCAAACCACTAAGTTGGGGGCAACTAATCCAAAAATGTGAGAGAGGGAACATGGCTGAAAGTTAATACTTTGAAATACAGCAGCAGTTTCTAAACAATTTGTAAAAATGAAGACTTTATGGAAAACCTTTTTCTCCAAACCAATTTGTTATTGGGCAAATTGCAGTAACTATATCATTCAAGAAAAGAAAGCATCACTTAAGTTCATTTGTCAAGTAATTGAAAACCTACAGTAAGAATGGATTATCTTACTGACAAATTTCAAGTTTAACATCAAAGTCCTTTCTTAGTACAGTAGCAGAACTAGTCACCTCTAGAACTATGCATGTTTGCAAAGATTACCACCTCCCACCCCTGATCCTCCCTTCCCCGCCGCTGAGTTGCCAAGAGGCAATGAATGCCATGATTTTAGTCTCTTAACAACTCAGCAGTAGGGGGAAGGAGGGAAGAAGAAGGGGCATGAGGTTGAAAAGCGCAAGATTAAAGGCAATGTTGTGCCACAACTTGCACCACAATTTAGATAGGTCCCCAAGCAGAGTCATCTTTTGTGGACCCCTTCAACAGTCTGCAGACCCACAGGTCGAAAACCACTGCTGTATAAGCAACTCAGTTTGCTGACAAGTTAGACTGAAGCTAACATTTTAAATATTTTCCATAAATACAAGCTGCACAGCACCTGTGCACTCGTTTCAGAATTACACAGAAAGTACTACAAACCAAGAAGTTCAGAGTGTTGGCGTTCTCTAGCACAAACAGTGAGATCGCAATAGGAAACATGCTGGCATAAGCAATGACATTCCAATATAAAAATTCACATGTAATATAGCAAGTCAATTGACAGCATATTTGTGATCATTTATATACAGCAATGGAAGCAGCAAGGAGTAGAGTTTATCCAAATTGCACACACCATATTACACAAATATTTTGCTTTTAGTTTCTCGTTCAGTCAAGTGCCTTATGTTTCTTCACATCAAAGGTTTGTATCTTTCAATAAAAAATTTCATTCTATCCCTCTATCACAATGGACAGCTATTCATGCAATATGTTATTTTAATGGGTCTGAAACCTACAGTGGCTTAAGACAAATGGAAGTGGGATGCATAATTCATTAATACCCTTTTTGGGGAAAAAATACATTTTTTTTAAAACTCTTATATGGGTTTATTTTGTACAAAACAACTTGCTTGTGTAAGGATTGAGCCCGAAAGGCTTGAGGCCACCATTTATTTTGATACATACTGAATTCTGCCACAACTTTGTGTTGTGCAAAGAGAGGACATTAACAGCATTCCCAGCTTCACTGAAATCCGTGGGAAGTAGTAGTGGTGGATGTCCTGCAAGTTTGTGATCCCACTAATACTCTGGCTCAGCTAAATAAGATGGAACCAAGCCAGTCATTTATACATACAATATTTTGCCTAGAATACAGTAAATACTTGATTTACTGAAAGGTTAAGTACTCATGAAGACACTTGACTGGACAGTGATACTATAATCAAGGTGAGGATGTCACAATATGCATGAAAGTTTGGTCTTAGGTGTTAGAGCATTTCACTTTCAAAGGGAAGGGAGCCG